CTCCCTCTCTTATTGTCTCGCCACTCCTCTCCTCCTCATTAGGTTTTAGCTTCTACAGCAGCATTTCCTGAGTCTTCAGTCTTGGCTCAGGGTTGTATTGATTTCCTGTGATTGGCTGGTTGGTGTCTGCAGACAGAGGCTGCTTTCTCCCTCTAGTGGTGACAGACTAACACAACACACTAACGGCCCCTACACACGGCGGCGTGCGTTGACGCTTCAACGCTTCTGCCCATTCACTTTGAATGGGGTGACGTCACGCTTCGCCGAACTGCATTGTGGGAGCAAAGCTAAATAAAATGTTAAAAAAGCGCAGCCCGCCGGCAAGCGTCAACGCACGCCGCCGTGTGTTGGGGCCGTAAGGGCTCATGCTCTATAAGCGTTACGGTACACCTTGAAGCTTGCCGGTGGGCGTGTCTGGCGCGCGACCAACAACCAATCACATTAATCTCCCGCCCCGGACACACAAGCACGTGGTTTGATTGGCTAGAGCTTGTACTGGCATATGATTTGATTGGCTGGCGCTTCCGTCGACGCTTGAAAAGTTGAACTTTTCTCAACTTCTGAAGCGAGCAACGCGAGCGAAGCGAAGCGAAGCGAAGCGACAGGACCACAATGCAGTTCGGCAAAGCGTGACGTCACCCCATTCAAAGTGAATGGGAAGAAGTGTTGAAGCTTCAACGCATGCCGCCGTGTGGACGGGCCGTTATGGTACGTCCACACGGCAGCGTCGCGTTGAAGCTTGCTGGTGGGCGTGTCTGGCGTGCGACCAACAGCCAATCACATTAATCAGAGAGCACCACAGACCGTGGAGGCTTTTAAAAAAGGCCTCAAAACCCATCTCTTCAAAAGAGCCTTTGCCTAGACCTTTTTACCACCCTTTTATTTTTATTTTTATTTATTTTTTATTGCTTTTTATTAATTCTACCGTGTTGTGTCATGTCTATTTATACTGTTCATGCTCACTGCTTGTAGCACTTCGGGATTTGAATTCGAATATGAAGTGCTTTATAAATGGAACCCATTATTATTATTATTATTATTAATCTCCCGCCCTGGACACACAAGCACGCGGTTTGATTGGCGAGAGCTTGTACTGGCATATGATTTGATTGGCTGGCGCTTCGGTCAACGCTTGAAAAGTTGAACTTTTCTCAACTTTCGAAGCGAGCAACGGAGGCAAAGCGAGCAACGGAACCACAATGCAGTTCGGCAAAGCGTGACGTCAACCCATTCAAAGTGAATGGGAAGCGTCTCCGTTGAAGCACGCAACGCTGCCGTGTGGACGTACCGTTAGTGGTGCAGGAATGAATCCTAAAACCTGAATGTGAGTCAGCATTTTAGCGCTTTATATTCTCTTGATTGAAGGCAAGGGTTTATTTAATATATTTTTGGTTGTTAGCATGAAATAAACTCTGTGGTCAACACAAGCTTAAGAGATTACACTTTTGTTCTACGATATAAAATACGTCAGTAAATACCCCACTGGTGAATTTAGAAACAGAGGTTGCCAACAAGTGTTTAAATGAGACGACTAAACGTCATCAGGCCCAACATTAGCCGCCTTTAGCTTAGCGGAGGTGACATGGAGTCATGTTAAACTGTAGTTTATAGATTAACTACGCAAGTTAATGTTGGGTTGATGGTAAGGACATTTGAATTATTGCTGTATTGAATGTACATTTTTTGCTCACGTCATTGTTAATATGCTATCAGATACAGAACAGGTAGTAGTCGTCCACGTAGACAGGCCTTTGTGAGAAAGCAACACATCTGGGACAACATCTCGGATAAGAACCTTCTTTCTGTTTTAGCAGACTTGGATACAAGTCAACCAAAATACTGGAAGCAGCTATCAACATGTGTTTAAACTGTCGAAGCAAAAAAAAGAAATCATGTTTGTAGCGTCCACGTTTTTTTCCTATAAAGTCTGTGGTTGTTCCCATATTACTCACAAACACACAGAAGTATCAGGATCGACTTCTAAATTCAGAAAAGAGGACAATCTGAAGAGCACTTGAATGCAGCGCGTTATCTCTATACCACTGTGACATGACATTTTAGTGAGCATCTGACTTTTAAAACGGGCATACAATGTGTCTGCTGTGATAAAGAATAAATAAATAAATACCAAAACACCATTCAATTTTGAAGTCTTTCCAGTTTATTTGACTTGAAATGTTTTCATTCAGATGGCAGCAGCTTTACAGAAAATAATTCATAAAAATTACCATTAAAACTTGTAAAAAAAAGTGCCTCCCTATACAGAAACTAATACTCAAATAGTAACAGTAAAAAATAATTAAGACAGCATAAAAAATATAAGAAAACAGCTTTAAATAAAAACACTGTTTACATAAAACCAAAGTGACACATTGAAATCAAGTGAACCAGTCTTAATACAGTGCAAATCATTAAGTGTAAATAAACATTCATAAAGCGTAAACACGTGTTGTGATTGTAAACAAAAGTCATTCATATAAGTTAGCATAACAATAATTTAATACACCCTTTAGTCCTGAAACATTTTGTGCAGTGAACGTCCCTTTTCCATTAAACAGCGCCCTTTATGTGCCTGAAGAAAATCAGTCCGCTTCTAATATAGGATATTCTGAATAAAATCATTTCTTTAAAAAAGGTGAAATGAAGAATTGCTGGTTTGCAGAAATACCCTTTTTCATTTACAGATAATATAAAAGAGCTATTAAGCTTTCAAACAGGCTTCAAGGTCAGTGAAGTCTGACATATTATATATAATATAACTCGCTAACATGCCAACGTATTACGCAACAAAGCCTAAACACATATATACTTGGTTAAAATTGACTTAAGGGAATATTTCACCTACAAAATGATCATTGAATTACCTAGTGTTACCTTGAAACCTAAGAACATATTTAGCTTTTTCTCAAATTCCTCCAAGATGAACAAAGGATCCCCAAAACTCTTAATGATGCAGATTTAACAGCAAAACTATCAAAACAGTCGACTTTGTACGCTGACTACTTCACAAACACATTCATTTAGACTAAAACCTTTAGAGGGAGGCGTAGCGCGACATAGCAAGTGTGACACTGCTCATTAAAAAGTGTTTTAAATAGTAATATTTTAGACAAGACGTATATATTTGGGAAGTAATGAGCACACGAATAGATAAATCGGACTGGGATTAAACTCCACAAATTGTGTGAGAGTTTTAAATGGACGTTTGATATAGTTTTTCTGTTTTAAATGCATTTTCTTCATCAAAGGTCCCATGTCATGGCCATGTCTACTGATCATAATTCCATTGTTGAGGTCGACTAGAATAGAATTAAATTGTGCAATTTTCCAAACTCACATTGGTTTCTCATACAGCATCTCTGTATAGTATGTGTATTCACTCTCTGTCCTAAACGGCTTGTTGGAGCTCCTGCCCCCCCCCTCCCTGTGAGCCCAGTGTGCTCTGATTGGTCGGGACGTTGCGAGGCTCGTTGCTGCGATCTGCTGCGAGGAGCGGACAGGTTTCCTGGGTCGGCGATACAGCGAGACACAGCGAAACTCATCCTGAGCACACACAAACACTCACAGCCGAAGTAAAAACAATAAGTGTGGCTTGATATTGAGTAAGAAAAAGGTTTATAACGCTGTGAGAATGGGTCTGCAGAGAGCATTTCTCCGCCATCCCAACTCGTCTATTACCAGCGTTCAGGGAGCTCTATGCAAGTCAATGGGGACTCCCTGTTAGTTAGCCAAGGGATCCTGGTGTGTGAGGTGCTCCGCAGATTGGTCCATTTGGGCCAATCCGGTCATTTGTTGTTGATTTGGGTGTTCACACGTCACAGAACCCAGGAAGCAAACAATGGAAAAAGAGAAATCTCCAACGAGGCGTTCTGGGGCAGCATAGACAGGTCTTTTCTGTGTTAGAGTTTTACTCGCTACAGGGTGTACTTTGAGGGTTTGTGACTCTGCAGACCGTTTACATGCAGAGAAACCTTCATAACACACAAGGGGACGGGTAATAACCGGAAAAGCATGACATGGGCCCTTTAAACTAAGAAATGTCTCTGTATTTTGGATTCTTCGCTCATTGTGGAGCCATGTGAGAAAGTTTTCACTGTGAGTTATTTATATAGAAAAGGTATTTTTGTGAATTAAGTTTCCCTTTAAACTTCTAGCTCATTGGTTAAAATTGACAAGACAGCTGCAGAAGAACATATTCTGTTCAAAACCCTTATCTGGCTGCCTTGCACAGAGCACTGAAGAGTCTCTCAGTGCATTAGTCACCTGGCTCTTAACAGCAATAACACTTCATACATATTGATGATGACTGGTCCTTCCTCGTGAAACCATCATCTTCCTCCTCCAGCCAGAGGAGGATGAGAACAGAGCGAAGAATAAGAAAAAACAGGAGTGGAGGAACAACCTTGAAAGTGAAATGGTTGGAGAAGCTAAAGTCACAGCGGTTAATAATCCCTATGAAGATTCAGACACATATTTACATATTCTAAAGGCGTGTGGACACTGAAATGATGATAAACCGCTGTGTGTGTTCCAGTGGAAATGTGCGTCCACTCGTCAGCGACGAATATGTTTACTGGCATTATTCTTGTAGTCATCAAAGCTCTGACAAACTGACATTTCACAAAGAGACCATAAATTATTCATACAGTACAAAAGCCCGAGCAGGTAATTGGGCCTGTGTGCGGTGCGTTCAGGCGTTCCCGGACAAATCGAAATGCAACAATTTCAGACAGCAAAGGATAGAGTGTTCAAGGTCAGTCGCTTCTCTCTATCGACGCATTCAGAGTCCCTGCTGGGTGTTTGAAGCACGCACACACACACACACACACACACACACACACACACACACACACACACACACACACACACACACACACACACACACACACACACACACACACACACACACACACACACACACACACACACACACACACACACACACACACACACACACACACACACACACACACACACACACACACACACACACACACACACACACACACACACACACACACACACACACACACACACACACACACACACACACACACACACATACCACCTCCTCCTCCTCCTCCTCCTCCTCCTCCTCCTCCTCCTCCTCACCACTCACAGCAGCAGAGGAAGGAGCACGAGGATCCTTCTGGTCCTCTGAACTTTCCGGAGCTCGGTGTGTCGGTGCACTCGGAGATGAACAGGTGCAGAGCGCTGACTCGGACCTGCTCCTTCGTCTGAGCCTAAGGAGGAGAAAGAGGGACAGGCATAAGGAGGAAATACATGAGGAGGATGATGTGTTTTTGTTTGTTTTGTATTTCAAGTCCAGCTATGTATGCTAATGCTAGTTACAGTAGCTAGACTTATTCTCAAAAGTTAGCAACGTTTATTTTCAACATTATGACTTTTTTCATATCGTTTGACTTTATTTGCCAAATTTTCTGCTGTATTCTCGTAATTTTTTGTTTATTCTAGATATTTTGACTTTATTCTAGACATGTTATTCTTAATCTATTGTTATTTTATTCTGCATTTTTTTTTTTACTATATTCTTAATATTTCAACTTCATCCACAATATTTTGACTTTTTGAATTATTCTGGTAAAAAATTGTATTTCAACTGTATTTTCATCGCTCAAGTTTATTTTCTTCTCAACATTTTCACTTTATTCCCTAAATTGTATCTCGACAAACTTTATTGTCAAAATGTGCTAGTGGTGCACGCTCATGTACTGTCAAGTCGCCGGAGCCTCGTAGCGGGGGCTACTGCGGAGCGCATAAAGCAGACTCTTCACGCTAACGAAGGATCACTTCTTCTTCAGGGCAGGGAAGGCTACGCAGTACGCAGGCTACTGTCCCGCAGCTGCTGCCTCTCTGTTGGACTCCAGTACTGCACATTACTCACGAGACGTTGTAAAAAAAAAATTGAGTGGGGGGGGCGAACGCACTAACCACTCCGCCAGCGCCACAGCGCGCGCAGGATGAGAATGTCTGGCGTGCTATATTTATTTTCCCACGGGCCTGGCCAAAACTGCATGAAAACGATTGAATGACTGACAGAAATCGTACCATGATGGTGTCGTAGGCTCCGGTGATGAGGGCGATGAACAGCGACAGCACCATGTAGATGAAGAGCGAGATGAAGGTGTAGAGGTAGACCTGGCTGAAGATCCACACCAGAAGGCCGCTCTGCTCCATCGCAGCGAACGTCACGAACATGTCGTCTCCGTTGATCAGAGAGAAGAGGCACTGTGACACCATGGACAGGGAGCGGAACTACACACACAGGAACACACATTATTAATGCAGCATTAAGATGGCTTTAAAAAAGAACTGTTTATGTGTATTGTATTGTTTGTTATTCTTTCTACTTGTTGCTGGATTGCTCCCTTTCTACCAGAACAACACGTTGCAAGCTACATCCATCACATGTTATTATGACTCAGATTGAATAAATGTCACTTTCCTTGGCTCACTAATCATACAGAGCTATAAAAATGACATGCTGGAGGCAGTTTATGGGAATTAAGCCATTGTGACTTCCTGACTGTCTGAATGACTCATGCTTGCTCATTCTTTGTGTGTGTGTGTGTGTGTGTGTGTGTGTGTGTGTGTGTGTGTGTGTGTGTGTGTGTGTGTGTGTGTGTGTGTGTGTGTGTGTGTGTGTGTACCTTGGCATGATAGGGCCCCAGCACAACCCACCCACAGAAGCAGTAGCCCATGTAAATGGCCGCTACGCAGCAACAGAAGCGGATGACGTTAGGAAACGCAGCTCTGAGAGTCACAATCAGGATCTGTGACAAAAAAAGAAAGAGAATAAAATATATTTAGCCAGAGTCGAGCAGGGATGACATTTTATTTTGACTGTAGGCTGACCTGGAAGGCAGCATCTCCCTGGTTCCCTTGAGAAAAATGAATGGGATTTTTCCATTGGATTTTGGAATATTGTAGAAAATAAGATCCGTGGCAAACACACATTCATGATACTTACACGCTTTGTCCAGCAGGATCATCTCCACATATTAACACCACTTTTATGATTTTAGTTAAAGGGGACCTATCATGCAAAATGCACTTTTGTACGTCTTTTCTACATGAATATGTGTCCCCGGTGTTCCAGGGAACCCACCAAGTGTCAGAAAACACAACCCTCTCTATTTTCCTCCATACCCAAATCTCTAAAAAAGGGGCTGCAACGGATCTGATAAAAACTGATCCAGATTTGAACACTGTCCTGACGTCAGGACGGTGGCGCTACGGCTATTGGGCCAACTCCACCAATCAGGAGGAGACAGCCACGGCATTGCCGTTTGAAAGCGCTGGAGACGCTGTAGTACATATGCCAGGCCTGTAGGTGGTGCTGTTCTCACTGAATCTGCCCTTGCAAAAACAAATTGTCAAATTGAGCGAAATGAGGCATGGCTAAAATGCATGATCTGTTTGGTATTTTGAAAAAAAAAAAGTATAAATATGCCTTATATAGCTATGGTCCTACACTATATTATTCAAATATAGCATGATAGGTCCACTTTAAGTAACAAGCTAAAGTACACTATAAAGGAACTACACATGCCTTCACGTCACCACTGCTAAGCTAAAGGCGGCTAATGTTCAGCACGTCATTCAAAAAATCCCTCAAAACTCACCTTTTCACTCTTGCCTTCAACTCCTAATCCACTAACCCCTCGCCCCTATACCACCTAGCTTAGCACTTTTTAACTTTTGTTGTTATTTTTTCTTTACCTGCTTGTAAAGCGCTTTGAGCACCAGGATAAGCGCTATATAAATAACATGTATTACTGTATCATTATGATGCAGTTTAGTCATCTCATTTAGACACTTGTTAGGAACCTCTGTTTTTAAGAAACATATAAGCTTCAGACATTCTCCAGGTGGGTATTTATTGACCTAATTGATGTCGTTAAAGACCTTATATCATGCATCCTACCAAAAACACATTTAAAAACTACTGACTTTCGAGATGAGGGAACAGAAAAGTGCTAAAATGCTGACTCACTTCATGGTTTTAGGACTATCTAAAGCAATGGTTCTCAAATGGGGGTACGCGGACCCCTGGAGTACTGCAGGGGGTACGTGAGATTTATTTTATGTTAATGAAAAAAAAAAAAAAATAGATAAATATACCAATTTTAGGAAAAGTAACGAAGTTTGAGCAGTGTGGGTTTTATATTAATAGACTAGAGTTACACATATTTCAAAACACGAAGTGTAATAACTGCAGGTGCCTCCCTGTCAGAATGACAAAGATCCTCAGTGAAGCACAAGCCCATGTTTCTCACTACATTGTAAGTACAACTTATTAAAAAGATCAGTTCAATGCAACTAATGTCGTCTTAGTGTTATTGCATGATGTTGAAATTGGTTTGCCATGAATTTAGTGATGGATTGTAAACATTTGAAATGTAGCATTTAAGTGTTTCTCAGTTACAATGTTGTTGTTTTAATAAATCAGACACTGATGGTGCAAGGCTGTACTGTACCTCTTTATATAGGCATAACAAATAGTTTTTGCGCTGATCAGGGGGTACTTGGCTGAATTTTTTTTTCAAAGGGGGTACATTATTGAAAAAGGTTTGAGAATCACTGTTCTAAAGCATTGAAGCAAGTCTTTAACCTACGTTGTATTTCTGGAAGAAGCTGAAGTAGCGGATGACTCCGACCCACACCAGCAGGGTGGAGGTTCCCAGCAGGATCCCACACATGTCGTACGAGGATGAGTTCTGCAGAAACAGGGACAGCATTAGAAACTGAGCACTGTACTGCAGAGCTGAACGATTAGAGATAATAATGTCTCTGAGATGACGTTACCTTGGACTCGATGCTGATCTTGATGAAGCTGCCGATGATGGTGAAGGTGTCGCTGATGATGAGGAGGAGGTACCAGCCGTTGATGAACTCCATCCGGTCTCCAAGGCTCACCCTGCGGATCAGTCTGTGTTTGAAGAACTGCACGTACTCCTGGAGAGGAAGAGGATGAAGGAGGATGAGGATCATATCAATCTGAATCAGAGTACATGTGTTATCCTGGGGGAAAGCGTGTTTGTGACAGTTTCTCTATTTTAGGATAAAAAATATATAAAATATAAGGTAGCATGTTCAATAAAAAATACAATTAAATACAAAAAAACCCGTATATAAACATTATAAGTTAAAGTAAGAATGGGTTTGTTTAAAGCAGAATCTTCTGAACATAAACACATCAATCATTCTGGTGTCTTACGTGTTGCAGCAGGACGCCTCTGAGGACGGAGCGTCCGCACAGCAGCAGAGACATCAGACACACAAACGCCACACACACGTCGAAAAACTCCAGAGCATAACTCTCCGCTGTAGGCAAATGATCAGAGACACAATAAAGAAAACGGTTAAATTAAGAAACAGATAAGTGTGTGTCTGAGAGAGTCATGTGTCAGTTCTCTCACCGTGCCCGGACACGTTGGGGTCTCTGCACTCCTGGATGGACGCCTGGTTCTGCAGATGGATCTTCACTTTGCCGCTGTGAGCCTTGTTGTCCATGACGATCTGATGAGAGTAAACAACAACACGTTTCATCAGTTCAACTCCTGTTTCAAAGGTCTGCTAATTTAAACAAACAACGTGCAAACTCACAGATAATTAGACCTGATTTCTATCTGAGCTGCAGGATGGGTGGACAGTAACTAAGTACATTTACTCAACTACTATCCTGTACTTGCGTATCATTTGAGGTATTTGAGTATAAACATCTTTCACTAGTAATTATAACTCTAGACCGATACATCTCAGAAAATAATATTGTACTGTTTACTCCACTACATAAAATGACATACACTTGTAGTTACTATTTACTATTCACATATATAACATCTGTTTGTATGATACAGTATATGTACTACTAATCTACTCAATTGTACACAAAGTATGCAAATTACAACATAAAGAAACCTCTTATTTATATTATTTAGCAATTAAAAACTGAACATTATAACATGTTATAGTAAAACAACTATTTTAAAAAGGGCCATTCTGCAAAATATGTACTTTTTAAAGTTTGCTGATGACACTTTTTTACTTTTAATTAAGTAACAGTTGGAACTCAAGACTTTTACTTTACTGTAGATGTTTTAATCGTTTATTTAAATACAGAAAGATAGATAGTTTACCATGATAGCAAAGGTGTAGCAGTCGGGGATTTCATTGTTTATTATGGTCTGAATGTTGATGGCCTTCAGCTGGAAATCAATCGTGACATTGATCAGCCTGAAGAGAGACAAACATGACAACAGTTAACGTGAAAACACAGCTTTCTTTGATTTTAATGTAAAAAAATAAGCTGAATATTATCTCACTTGTAAAACTTAAGAGTGAAATTCTTGTAGTCACTGTTTCCTGGAGCAGGACTGTAGGTCAGTGGATTCAGTCCAATGCATTCTGGGGGGAAAAATGATCAGAAAATAGCATCAGAGGAAGTTAAAGGGGAATTTGTCCTCATCACGTGAAGCACAAACCACTTTTCTACACTTCCTCACAGCATTCAAACGCAGAACTGACCCCTTAGACATCATTATCTAATTTATCTTTTTTTTCCACAAGATCTATCATGCATTGCCAAAAAGTCATCTGTGCCAAATCAGCAGGTGTTTGTAAATAACTCCACTCCCATGGCATGGAAACTGGGTGGTAGAGTCAATGGAAAGAAAAGATTTTGTGTTGCAATTGTTTGGTAGGAATTATTGAATGCCTCTGAAAGGAGGGCAACTCTTGACATATGTGGAGCAGCACCACAATGACTCACTGACATCATGTGCTTAAGGGGCGAGAAAATACTGGTAAAAAATAACTAGTTTTATACAGTGGTGCTGGGATGACGCATTTTTAAGTCTGAGGCTGAAGTTAGCATGTCCCTGGTTCCCTCCATTAAAAGCCAATGGGATTTTCAGTGGATTTTGGAATATAGCAGAAAATAATCTCTGTAGCAAACAAACAAAGGAACTACAGCACGGTCACATGACATCACGTCACCACCGCTAAGCTAAAGGCGGCTAATGTTGGGCTATAAAGGAACTACAGCACGGTCACAAGACTTCACGTCACCACCACTAAGCTAAAGGCGGCTAGTGTTGGGCTATAAAGGAACTACAGCACGGTCACAAGACTTCACGTCACCACCGCTAAGCTAAAGGTGGCTAATGTTGGGCTATAAAGGAACTACAGCATGGTCACATGACTTCACGTCACCACCGCTAAGCTAAAGGCGGCTAGTGTTGGGCTATAAAGGAACTACAGCACGGTCACATGACTTCACGTCACCACCACTAAGCTAAAGGCGGCTAGTGTTGGGCTATAAAGGAACTACAGCACGGTCACAAGACTTCACGTTACCACCGCTAAGCTAAAGGCGGCTAGTGTTGGGCTATAAAGGAACTACAGCACGGTCACATGACTTCACGTCACCACCGCTAAGCTAAAGGTGGCTAGTGTTGGGCTATAAAGGAACTACAGCATGGTCACATGACTTCACGTCACCACCGCTAAGCTAAAGGCGGCTAATGTTGGGCTATAAAGGAACTACAGCACGGTCACATGACTTCACGTCACCACCGCTAAGCTAAAGGCGGCTAATGTTGGGCTATAAAGGTACTACAGCACGGTCACATGACTTCACGTCACCACCGCTAAGCTAAAGGCGGCTAATGTTGGGCTATAAAGGAACTACAGCACGGTCACATGACTTCACGTCACCACCGCTAAGCTAAAGGCGGCTAATGTTGGGCTATAAAGGTACTACAGCACGGTCACATGACTTCACGTCACCACCGCTAAGCTAAAGGCGGCTAATGTTGGGCTATAAAGGTACTACAGCACGGTCACATGACTTCACGTCACCACCGTTAAGCTAAAGGGGGCTAATGTTGGGCGTGATGACGTTTAGTCGTCTCATTTAGACACTTGTTAGCAACCACCGTTTCTAAATTCACGAGTGGGGTATTTACTGACATATTTTATGTCGTAGAACAAACATTTCTTCGGCTTATGTTACCCACAGACCTTATTTCAGGCTAACAAACAAAAAGACATTCAAAAAACCATTGAACACTACACAAGGGAACAAGGAAAAGCTAAAATGCTGAATCACTTTCAGAATGTATGACTCATTCCTGCACCACTAAGGAGAGAAGGATAAGGTTCCTCCTACCGGTGTCCACATGCGGATCGATGTCGAAGGTGTCGTTGGAGGGGTCGATGGTTCCCTTCCTGTAGAACCTCTGGCAGAGGGACAGCGCACTTCCATTTTCACCGGCACCCAGAACATAGGCGTACTGACCCAGAGAGATCTGAGGGAGAGCCATGTACTGGAGGGGGAGAGAGAGGAGAGGAGTACAAGTCAACATGAGGCAGTGCTGCAGGAAATAAAACCTGGAAATGAGTTAGCATTTCAGCACGTCCTGTTCTCTTATCTTTAAGTCAATGTATTTTTAAATGTGTTTTTTGTTAGCTGCCTGATAAAAAGATATGTGCAAGTTGAAGAGATGTTAAAGTTTAGTTCTACGACATAAAAAAGTCAGTAAAAACCCCACTGGTGAATTTAAAAACAGCGGTTGCTAACAAGTGTCTAAATGAGACGACTAAACGTCATCACGCCCAACATTAGCTGCCTTTAGCTTAGCGGTGGTGACGTGAAGTCATGTGACCGTGCTGTTGTTCCTTTATAGCCTAACAAGCCCAGTCTGCTCTGATTGGTTAGCTGGCCGGCTCTGTTGTGATTGGTTAACCGCTTACAGATGTCCCTGTATATCACGTACAATGTGATGGAGAACTAGCCGATAGCTGCGCTTGTGTTACCTTGTGATGTCACTATTTTCCGGAAGTAAACAAAGGAATCCAATGGAGGCGTTTCATTACATTCCACCACTGACTGATACATAATGACAGTGTAATAAATTGGTATTTGTGTAATCAGGAGAGTACCTGTTCGACAGCGTAGTGAATGCGGCTGTAGAACTCCCTCTGTGTGTGCACGCTCTGAGCAGCTCCGTCCTGAAATCCCTGCAGGAAAAGGTGTTTGAACGCCGCCGTGTTCTCTTCCTTAAACGTCACCACCATCTGGTTACTGAGCCCAAACAGCACCAGCTGAGAAGAAAAGGAGCTTTAACAAAAGGCAACTACAGAATTACAGATGAAACCTTTTCTTTTTCTATTCCATGTAAATATATACGGTTCATGTACAAGATTTGTTGTACACCGTTTTTGGTCAAAACGTATGTAGAAAAAACTACAAACTAATAATAATAATAATTCATTTATTTTATATAGGCGCCTTTCAAGGCTTTCAAGGTCGCCGTACAAACACACAAACAACAAGATACACAATACATAACACCAGCATAAGAAACATAAACAAGACAATGCAGTATATCAATCAATCAAAAATGAAATAAATAAAACAGAGGATGTGTGATGGATAATGATCAGGGTGGATATGCGAGTGTGAAGAGATGTGTTTTGAGGCGTGATTTGAAAATGGGGAGAGAGTCAGTGTTGCGGATGTCAGGTGGGAGGGAGTTCCAGAGGCGGGGTGCAGAGCGGCTGAAGGCCACCCCATGGTGGTTAAACGGAAGGGGGGTGCAGTGAGGTGGAGGGAAGCAGAAGACCTGAGAGTGCGGATGGGTGTGTTGATGTGCAGGAGGTCGGAGAGGTACAGAGGAGTGAGGTTATGGATGGCCTTAAAGGCGAGGAACAGAATCTTAAAAACGATACGGGATTTGACGGGGAGCCAGTGAAGTTGCTGAAGAACAGGAGTGATGTGGTTAATGGAGGGGGTTCTGGTGAGGCGGCAGAGTTCTGAACCAGTTGAAGTCTGTGGATGGTTTTGAGAGGGAGACCAAAGAGAAGGGAGTTGCAGTAGTCAATGCGGGAAGTGACCAGGGTGTGAACAAGAATGGCGGTGGTCTTAGGGTTAAGGGACGGGCGGAGGCGGTTGATGTTGCGTAGATGGAAATAGGCAGACCGAGTGATATTACTGATATGAGATTTGAATGAAAGTGTAGTTTTTGATCAAACTATGATCAAAAAGTCTCAGGGGGTGAAATAATAATACATAATAATCAGTTCTAAGTCTGTGTTGACCTGCACGGTGACGATGATGATCTTCAGCAGCTGAAGGCCCAGTTTGAACGGCTTGCGTCCCTTGGCGTGATATTTGTCACACGGGCTCATGAAGAAGTATTTGAGTTTCCTCCTCAGCACCTCCTCCTCTTCCTCATCTTCCTCCTTCCTCTGAGGGGCCTCCGAGCCCAGCAGAGAGGGACGAGGGGCCCCCAGCAGAGAGGAGGGACGAGGGGCCAGGAGGTCCCGGGACCCATAGCCCGCAAACTGGGAGAGGAGCCGATCCTTCTCTGGGAAACACAAAGAAATACACGGTGATTAACTTTAAATGTGATCAGCATTAGATTCAAAGATTCTTTGTTGTCACATGGACAGCAGCTACAGTGTTGATATGGCTGTGACAATCTGAAGTCCAAGGCTCCTCCAACAATGCAACACAACTTTATATTAGACATAAAACAATAAAAGAAATAAAAAAATTGTGCAAGATTATGTTGCAAGACCAATGTGCAAGTAATGCAGGAGAAGTGAACTATATACATGTCAAAAATAAATACAAAAAGCTAAATGTTTCAGAGAATGTTACATATATATATATATATATACTGTATGTATGTTGTAAGTGAACAATATACAATACAATAGGATAAACAATAACAGAATGTAAAATGAAATGCTGTACAGTGAAAGGAAATACTGTTTATGTAGTATGCAAATGTCAAATAGCGCTAATGCAATATTATGAAGAACATTTATTCAATGCTTCAGTACTATTTTGAGGTACTTGTACTTTACCTGAGTATTTTCATTTTATCTTACTTTATATGTCTACTCCATATTGAACTTTTCACTAGAATGGGGCGAAGCCTGCAAGCTAGTTCAGGCAGTCAACTCGAGCACTTATGCTGCATTCATACATATGAATACACATGGCCCCTTGCCACTCTACAACCAACCAAACAGAGTCTCCTTAATATGCCGCTCTATTGAACCTGCCAGATCTCTCTCTATGCTTTGCTTGCTGCTGCTATCGCTGCAGCTACTTCCACGTCGCTGCTGCTTGCCTGCCCCACCACCACCCCAGCTTCCACCCCAGCTTCCACCTGTAGGCTCGGGGGGTTAGTTATCTAATCATCACTCATTGTGCTATGTATATCTGTGGAGTGATGAGGCCCGAGCCTAGACGCCAAACTCAACTATATGCTGCTTCTAATAAACATGTTAAAGAAACACGTGAGTTGTCTGACTGAACTACATTTACTTGACAGCTTTAGTAAATAGTGACTTTGGAAAATAATCCGGAAGTTTGCATAAAAAACACAGAAAGCCATAAAATATTATATTTTATAGTTAAACTAGTCAACGGTCTGTACAAGGCAAGCTTGATGCATTATCCAACCATGCAATAGAGTGATAATTAAATGGCATCTTTAAAAGGAAATAATAATAATAATGTTCTCATTTAAATGCCTTCGAATATTTTTTGTTTATTTTCTTCCTGCGATTTCTAGCTTTAACGTTGAATATTTTCACTATATTTTCATGATAATTCTTACTTACCTAGGTAACATTTCCAATGCAGTACTTATTCAATATTAGTATTTGTACAGTGTGCTATTAGTATACTTTTACTTCTTCCACCACTGCATACAGGGCAGTTTCCCATCCTATGTAACTGCATGCACATTGCACTTTAGTAAGTGACTAGAATATAAATCTTGTTTATCTGCAAGTCAACTGGGATGCAGAACATTTATCTAACATTGATTTTAAGTATTTCCTTCATAAGACCTTATATGCATCACATCTTAGCATCATCTGTGCTGCCTGATTTAATTTAATATGATGCATTTTGCAGTATTTACAGCAGCCATGCATTAAAGTGACAGAAAACACACATGAATTATCTCCATATGTTAGAAACATGAACACAGACCGACCTGTGGAGCTGTCCTGGGTGCACGTGCAGCTGGATGTCGCCATGGTGATCAGGCTGCGATGGAGGAGGACATCCTGAGCTCAGTATGGAGAAGAGAGAGGATCCATTGTGTTTAACAGGGTCTAGTTTCTGCACACAGAAAGGATGCTCGCTGTCGCAACGGAAAACAAACAGAGCAGCTTCCTGGTTACCACGTGACTCCACTATCACGTGACTAGTGTTTGTTGCTAGGGAAACACCGGAAAACATCACAAAATATGTTAGACAAAGAAAAGAAAATAACGAAGGTAAAAGACGGGAAAATGTTCCTATATACACATTTAAATACAAGAAAAACATTACATTTTTTTATTTCTACCTTTGAAATATATAGAGTTGGTTTGTTTGCCCAGTTTTCCTCTTTAACAACGGTTCAGAAAGAAGTAAAGACAAATCTAAAACGGTTATTTTACATAAAATATTTGTGAAGTAGGCTACTGTTTTTTTGTTGCCTTCATATTTATGTTTTTTACAGTGGTGCCATAGTTGTAAAAGTGTCCGAAACTTGGTTTGGAAATCCGTCCATCTTCTTTTATGGATGAGGAATTCTCCCATAAATAAAATTATATATCTTTTTCTTCCAATGAGTCAGTCTCTGTCCCTTTGTTACTCTTGTGTTTCTTTCTAAAACCAGTAATGAGAAAAGCGACTGCAGTGTAAACAGTAAAGAGACACTGGACACATTGCATTTACATTTTCATATTTATTTAACACTTGGTCAGTAGTTAACATTATTAACCAAAAAACGGGTGTATTTTTTAATAATAATCATTTGGATTTTTCAATTTGTATTCAATTCTGTTCTCTGTAAATAACTCAAAATGTAGGTCAAAACAGTGGTAATTATGTTTAATGCTGCCAGAAATAAAATAAAGGGGGGAGAAATGCTGAACCTTCTGTACATTACTTATTTAATTTGCTTTAAAGCAATACAAGTTGTCAAAATGCAGAAGATGTACATTGTGTTTACATTGTTCACTCTGTTACTATTACCTCCAAAAAGACACACACACACACACACACACACACACACACACACACACACACACACACACACACACACACACACACACACACACACCACACCACACACACACACACACACACACACACACACACACACACCACACACACACACACACACACACACACACACACACACACACACACACACCACACACACACACACACACACACACACACACACACACACACACACACACACACACACACACACACACACACACACACACACACACACACACACACACACACACACACACACACACACACACACACACACACACACACACACACACACACACACCCACACACACACACACACACACACACACACACACACACACACACACACACACACACACACACACACACACACACACACACACACACACACACACACACACACACACACACACCTCAGTGTCGTCAATACTATCTACAGCCCGAATTATGAATCTATTTTACAGAGATGAAACATGCAGCTGGAGTCAAACTGGAATGAGACTGAAGAAACTGGAGTCTGGACCTCTGTCTGTTACATGAAATACTTTGCAGCAATACAGATAGTCACATGTATTAACAAAACACAAACCAGGGTTGCTTTAATTAGTTTGACATTTAGGGGGACGTTCTTGTTCAGTCTCACTTTGAGGCAAATCACTTTCATTATCAAATAATTGATATGTTGATAATTGTTATGATTCATTGTCTATAAAAAAGTGTACACATTGTTTCAAAGAGCCAAAACTATTCCCCAGAGCCCAAGGTGACATTTTTCAATTAAAATAAGTTGACACTGATGTGGTGAAAGTAGGGCTGGTGAATATATCGATAATATATTAATGTCTAATGAGACTAGATCGTGTCTTAAATTTGGATATCGATTGCAAAAGTATGAAGTGATGTCCTTTTATATTTGTTATTGTGTTTTCCATATTTTGTCTTTACACACTTAGTCACCGTATTTTGTAAAGATTTTTGTGTAAGACTCAACCCTTATATCGTTGCAATATCAATAAAGGTATTTGATCAGAAATATTGTGATAATCGACTTCCTTCATATCGCCCAGGCCTGGATAAAAGTATCCAAAGTATTCATATTTTTATGAATAATCTGGGACGAACAAATGTGACGTGAAACTGCAAATAAAATGATTTTCAGAAAAAAGTATTCTATGTCAATTAATAACGAGTAACAGGAGTGAGATGATCCACAAAAACACGGAGGGTTGAACCGCGGCGCTGCATGTTCTCTCTCTAGACGTGGCTCAGTATGCTGCTATCATCCATACACTCTCATAAGTTACCACAACAAACAGTAGATCCTCCCCAGTGCTCTCTATCTGCCGTCCAGAGCCTTGTCCCTGGTGATGACCGAGTCGTTGAACTTGATCATGAGCGTGGTGCCCTTGTGCCAGTGAGCCGTGACCTTGGCGGGGAATCCGCTGTGTGTGAGCACGGCCTCCACGATGCCGGCGGTGAAGGCGGCGCAGTTCAAGCTGCTGTTCTCTTTGGGCACGGAGATGTAGGCGTTGATGAGCGGCTCCTTCTCGATGATGTAATACGTCTTGTCGTCGTCGTTGGCCTGCTCCAGTTTGTCCGCCTCCTTCCCAAACAGAGACTTCCAGACGTTCACCTGAAGAAAGTTGATTTACAAGTGAATCAGCTCTAAAACCATCAGAGGTATTATTTTAATGGCTTTAATGTCCAAACATGTGCTTTGTATAAATAAGACAAAACACAACATGATTAATTTTTTTATATATTTGTAAAAAATGTAAATATTCTTCATTTTTTTCCTGCTTTTGGATTTAAAGCATATGATAATGCTGTTAGGAAATTAGTCTTTACTCACACAAGTATGTCTGGACAAACAAAGTCAGTAAATAAAAAGTACAAAATTAAATAAATAATAATTAAATTAAACAAATAAATACGCATCTCATAACGTTTTTAATCTATTTGAAAAAAAAAAAAAAAAATCATATCAATGATATAAATACCATTTTATTCATATATTTATTTTTAAGACCAAGAAATAATAATATTATTTTTTTAAGGGAAGAAAATGACTTCATATATCAATAACAATAATAATAATAATAATAATAATAATAATAATAATAATATTAAAAGGGGATTCTTTAAAAAAAATAAAAACACTGACACAACAGATTCAGAGTTTGATTCATCAGCTGTATTCTACATGCCTACTACCGTCTTTAAGATAATTAGATATATACTTTATCGATCCCAATTTAGGAAATGATTTAGTTACAGAAGCAGCAGTGTGTTCAGACATTAAAATACAAATACTTAAGTATCTTAGAGCACCAGGAAAAGCATTATATAAACACCATGTCATATTATTACTGACCTTGATGAAGAGCAGCATGTTGAGCACTTTGGTCTCCCTCTTCCCGTTCTTCTCCCTCAGCACCAGCACATCCAGCATGCTGGCCCCGACGCTCTGCCCCATGTCGGCCAGCCGGGTCTGTAGCTCCGTCACCGAGTACACGCGGCTCTGGCAGTACTGCACCATCTCTGAGAACAGCAGAGCGAAGGCGCTCACGCTCACCTCCGTCTTCGGGCGCGTCAGAGGGCGCTCCAGGATGTTGGACTTCCCCCGAGTGAAGCGCGTGTCCATCTTCTGTTGGAGAGGAAAGAACAGGTTTTACTGACACACACATTATGTTGTTGTTGTTCTTGTTGTTGTTACCATTACTACAGAGCTGAATCCCAGATCAAATGCACGCTGAAGGCTCTTTGAGCATGTTTTCTCTCACTGATCGTGCTGTTATGTTAAATGTTTGTTGTTTGTTTTCCATGTATTGTGTCTTGATATTTGTCTGTTGATGTTACACATGGAGCTGCTGTGATGCAAGGAGCATTTCAGACTTGATCTGACCGTTAAAGTAATATCGTATCGTATTGTCTTTATTATTCGTCCACATTGAAAGAAAAAATAATAACATTACAGGGGATTATACAAATTAAAACAGTAATGGGGCGAAGCCTGCGAGCTAGTTCAGGCAGTCAACTCGAGCACCAATGATACATTAACACGTGACGCACCTCGTCCCTCTTACAACCAACCAAACACATTCTCCTAAACATGCCGCTCTATTGAAGCTGCCAGGTCTTCCTGCCTCTGCCTCTGCCTCGCTATGCTGCTGCCACTGCTGTGTTCACTTGCTATTGCTACGTTCATGTTCCTGCTGCTGTGTTTCATGTTGCTGCTGCTCGCCTGCCCCACCACCACCCCAGCTTCCACCTGTAGGCTCGGGGGATAGTTATCTAATCACTCAATGTTCTTTGTAAATCTGTGGAGTGATGAGGCCCGAGCCTAGACGCCAAACTCAAACTATATGCTGCTTCTAATAAACATATAAAGAAACACGTGAGTTGTCTGACTGAAATAGATTAAGCGTTGGAGTCATCAGCGGTGTTGTTGTTGTTGTTTTTTGATTTTCTATTTATTGGCTTATCTTATTCATTCATGTCTTTTGTTCAAAACACAAACATTGTTTACATACAGTATAGATAACACAAAACGGAAAAACATGCATATCATGTGCCTGAAATCCAAAGGCATCTTTTTTACGTATATAGAAAAAAGGAATAAATTGAATTAAAAAAAAACTGCCCCCCAAAAAATACTAACATCTTTGCAGGCTATACCTAAATGTAAGTTGTTGGAGGTTGAGTCTATATAGAAAAACACCTACATTTCCTAGAAACCAAAGGCAGAATCATACAGATTGTTAAAATAAAAATATATAACGGAAGATAAAAGCAGCTAACACTTCAGGACCTGAGACCTTATTTGGCAAAGTAATGAGGAAATGATTCAAGCTACTTATCTCTTGTCAAAGTTATTGTCAATTCGGTTGGTACACTCATCAATCAGCTTCATAATTGAACAGAAAATGACTTTACAATCATCACACATCACCTATGGAGGCATTTATCCAATTAGCCTGGATTTAGAGGAACATATGAGGCTATTTCCTTTTCTAGAGTTCTCCCTTCATCAAATTAACCTGTTTTTTTCTTTCACAAACACACATTATATTAGCTTTTACTAAAGCATGTGTCTGCACTGTGCTCCTTCTAAAGATCAGTTTGATTCAAACACAACAAACAGCTGATCACTAGCTGTTAGCATAACAAGCTAACTGACACTTCCGGTTGACATATCTAAACAAGAGTCTTCCACTTCCAGCTGTAGAAACAGAAACGTTTTAGAAACACAAACATGTAGTTCATACTCTGTGAGCAACTATACCTATTTTATGTGTTGATAAACAGACCTTTGTTGGAGACAAGACGAGCGACTGTGCAGGTTTTCTTCTTCTTCTGTTGGTTTTTACTGACTTCTTCTTCGTTTGTTTTAATGACGGACTAGACACCACCGTTAAAGGTGCATTACCGCCCCCTCCTGTATCGGGGTATGTGGTGTCATGGCTTTATATTATCTCTCAGTAAACATTGTCAAGGAAAAATAGACACACATGGAAGGTTAAAAACAAAACAAATAAACAACCCTATTTTCCACATGAGAACATTTGTTTGGGATGTGAATAAAAGGGTAAAAAATCCAAATTTTGAGAAAAAAAGATAATGTATATTTCGGAATTCTGACTTTAAACTCATAAGGAAAAAAAAACGTTCTCAAAAAATGTTTCACTAATCTTCTTCCATACTACATATCCTACCATTCCCCTCCTGATTGTATCCCCTGTTCTCAATATTGATTGTAAACTCCTATCGTGTCCTGCCTTTTGTACTATACTTCCTAATGTCTCCCTATCTGAATAATATGTAACGCAATGCATTATAATTTGTTCTATATCCTCCACAGTGTTACACCAATGACTACACATATATAGCAAACTGCAACCAGTATTTAAATTGCACACCGGAGCATCAATGTATACACAAAAAAAACATATTTACAGTATTTAAACTAGAGTGTATGTATATAGCAGTGGTGGAAGAAGTATTCAGATTATATATTTACTTAAGAACAATTACACTTGTAATATTTATGATGGCTCAGTTCCAGCATGCTGCAGTTATTAATGTGTGTTTGACGAGTCTCATGGATATCAGCTTATCGTTCTTGTTCCTCCCTCTAAAGGTCATTATTATTACAGATGACCATAATAACAGATGTATATCTTTGACCTATTGTTCGCATCCCAGAGCTTCTGCAATGTATATTCCAGTTCACCCAGGCACTTCCTGTTCTCTTCATCACATGACTGCTGCTTTTTGCACCTTTTCACAGCTGCATTTTCAACACCTGACATAAAATCACTGATCAATAAATGTATGATCAGACATATTTCTGTAACGAATTCCCAGCAATCAACATGATTCATGGTTCTGGGGTTTCCTCAGTTTTGCATTCTGACTTTGTGTTTTCGGGAACATTGAAGAGAACATTGCCTCAGAGAGGACTGCTGATGATTTGCAAAGTATTTAAGAGTTTTCCTCTGATTGCTTTAATTACCCGGTTTTTTTCACAAGCACCGGCCACATTAACGACAAGAATACTTTTTACAGAAGTTAGGAATTTCTCGAAAATGTCCGGCCCTGTGTGGGAAAACTGTGAGCGGTGAGAAGCAGTGTTGGAACAAAGTAGATTATTCAAGTACTGAATTTATGTACAATATTAGGGTACTTTACTTGAGTAATTGATGCTACTTTAAACTTGTTTTTCAGAACTTGAAGGTCAATATTGTTCTTTTTTACTTATCTGACAGCTTTAGCGGGTGGCGTGTGGCGCAGTGGACTAGTGCGTTGTTGTTCGGATCAGGGGAGCACAGGTTCAAACCCCGCTGCAGTCAACATGTCGTTGTGTCCCTGAGCCACTTCACCCCAAATTGCTCCTGTGGGGATTGCCCACAGTATTGAGTATGTAAGTATGGATAAAAGCGTCTAACAAGTGACATGTAATGTTATTTACTTTTGCAGGTTCTATCTATAACATAAAATAATGATCAACTAATGAATTTTACTGTTTTGTTTTTAAATAGGAAGTTAGCTCAACTTTTACAACCTGCAAAATTAAAACAATTTACACTATTTACAATTATTTTAATTTGGTGATATAATGCATTTTATTCAGAAAAAGTATACATTCATGCATATTATTTCGAAAAAACTTGCTTAACGTGTATCTAGATTTTTGTTACTTTAGTTCTGTATTCATGCTTGAACTAAGACAAACATAACAAGAAAAATGCTCTCCCAGAAAAAAAGAAAAAAAACACTAGAATAAAGGATGGTGGAGGAATTACAGTGCTAATTTATTTTATGCATTTGTTTCTATTTTACACGTAACATGGTCTTGCATCAGTACATGTGGTATTCGATGTAGAAAAAAGACAGCAGGACATTTCCTTACGAGTATTTCTACACCGTGGTATTACTACTTTTGCACTAATCTATGTACTTCCTTCACCTCTCTGTCAGGACTCCAGTGACAGGGCAGGTGCCAGTTTCCCACATTACTCAGTGAACGCAGGCGTATCTGAGTGTGTGTCTACACTGTTACATAACACACACTCATATAAAGGAGGGAGAGGACAGAAATGTAGCAGACATCTAGAGCTGAAGGTGTTCAGGATGGATAAAGGCAGCTGGAAACACTCCCTGCTGCTGGCTGTGGTGTTAGCCAGCACGTATGCAGAAGGTAAGGATATTTGTTTTTGTTTTAACACGTTTTATCGGGCAATTTATGTACAATATTGTTTGCATTATAAGCAGATCTTTAAGTCATTTTCAAAATAATAAGTACATAATACTCTGTGTGACCAGGAAATGCAAAGCAGGGAATTCCCTTACCTCTTGAAGGAGTTTTGTTTGGTAATAAACAGTTGTATTCAGGTTGAAAAAATCACATATAGTCTTAGAAAATGATACAACACCTGTCTGAAAATCAGGCAAGCTTATCTCAATTACATTACTCACACAGGATGTTATAATTTATTGAGAAGACCTCTTGACCCTCCTATTGTCTTCGTTCCCCCCCCCCCCTTACTTTGGTGTTCGCGGTCAAATTTGACCGGTCCTGTTTAAACTGCTATTACCGGTACATTAACACAAAAACCATTAATCATCACCACATTTCATTTAACACCCTTTCAAACTGTAAATATTGTATCAGACTACTGGTATACATGAAAGACTGCAGTAAATATACAAAGAATAGACACTGAACATGTATTGCGTGTGCCAGGTGTGATCCATGTGGGGGGATGGGCACATAAGAGCGGGAGATGTATCAAATTGTTCTGTGTGTGTGTGTGTGTGTTTGTGTGTGCCAGGTGTGATTCACATGGGGGGATTGGGCACATAAGGGGGGGGAAACACATCTAGAGTATGTGTGTGTGTGTTTGTGTGTGTGGGTGTTTGTGTGTGTTATGATTGATGAAAGTAGTAAATCGGTCAGATTTGACCCGAAGACAACAGGAGGGTTAAAAGAAAACAACACAATGTTTTTTTTATATTGGAAGGGTAGGGAATGGCTGTTTTTCTTTGGTGTTTTGTGATCTGTTATTTGTAATTTTTTTAAAGAAGCTACTCAAAATATTTGGTGTGACCAACTGAATGGACTTTTACTCGGTTTTTAGCACGGAAAAATAAAAAACTATCAGAAAAAAACGAATAAAGCAGGATCCTCTAGGAAATCAGTTTTGCTACTTATTAAAACTACAGATTTCTCTAGGTTTTGAAATGTTTGGCCGCAGTTAGCATCATGTATCCTCAAAACCCAACAAAACATCTAACACAGGTTTGAGGTTTTTAGAAACTTGAATGTAGTCTAAATATCTAAAGGTAGTTTCTTTGCATCAGTAATGGTTCATTGTTTGATGTTTTATGGACACTCTGCAGTCTTTATGTGTCAATGAGGGCTCAGTTGCTTAGTTTCACTATTAACACCACAACTACCTAAGGTGTGTTTGTGTAGTTAGGGGATAGGAACAAAGGTTTAAGGATAAGGCTGGTTAGGGTTAGATTGTATTATTCCATTACTCCATTATGAAGCTTTTATCTCAAGCAACTTCTATACCGTGGAAAAGCCAAGTAGAGCAACTCAATAACAAGAAGACTTCAACAAGTTGACTTCATGGGCTGGGGATAGATTGGTGAATGGACCGCATTTAAATAGTGCGTTTTCAGTCTTTACGAACTCCTAGAAGTGCTTTTACACATTCATATAGGAGCAGGGGCTACCAGTATAACATCAACACATATTCAGACACCATTGGCCACTGGGAGCAACTTAGGGTTAAGTATCTTGTCCTAGGGTTAGGGTTAGGGTACATAGGCTCTGAACGGACCCTCAACCTGATCGAATCCCAATTGTTAGACATCAACTACCTCACATCAACCCTGAGCTACTGCCTCAAAAAGATTTAGATTTCAAACTCAATTTCAAATAAGGTCTCAGGTTCTCAAGTGTTGGCTGCTTTCTCTTTTTTATATATTTTATATTAAGAATCTTTATGATTCTGCCTGTTTGGTTTCTAGGAAATGAAGGTGTTTTTCTATATTTAAGACCTCCAACCACTTGTATTTAGGTAGCCTGCAAAAATGTTCATGACTTTTTTGTTAGGTTGTTGTTGTTGTTTTTGTGTTGTCAAATACATTTTTCATATGACAACATATACATATTATTTTGGGAGGAGTGTTTTTAATTAAATGTATTCCTTTTTTCTATATGCGTACAAATACCTTTGGATTTCAGGCATATGACAACCATTGGCCCCTGGGAGCAACTTGGGGTTAAGTATCTTGTCCAAAGGGTTAGGGTACATCGGACCCCCAATCTGATCGAATCCCAATTGTTAGACTACAAACTACCTCACAGCCAACTTTTTGCCCCTTAATCAACCCTGAGCCCCAACTGCCTCAGAAAGATTTGCGATTTTTAACTCAATATCAAAGGCATTTATGTGTTCCTGCTATGGACAGTCTTACACTAATGTACATTCCCAAAGATATTGAAGTGACGGTTATTTTGTATATATTGATTGTTGATTGTGTGCATATGTATAAATGTGTCTGTTGATTGTGTATTTATAGGTATGTACATATTTGTATACATATTTTTATATATATTTGTATTTTTTGTATCCGGGATTGTGGGAAACGGTATTTCGATCTCTCTGTCTGTACACACAAACTGAAAGATTGACAATAAAGTTAACTTTTGACTTCCTGTCCTCATCCTTAGCTTCATTTTCCTGGCACATGGATGACTTCATCCAGGCGGTGAAGCAGGTGGAGGACGGGGTCCCGGGTTTGGGTCCTGTGGCCGTGTTGAAGCGCCTCCGCCATGCAGCCGGACTCAACGACGCCCTCATCCAATACTTCCTTCGTGCTGCAGAATCCGGTGGTGCTGAAATGGAC